TAATCAGGATAAAACCGTATATTAAAAGCTAACATAAGCAGTAGCATTTACAACAGCGTATCTAAAAGTATGAGACAACAACAAACCAAAAACATAGGTCTACCATTAAAAGCTGTGCTTGCACAGGTTCTGCACGATCCTCTTCAATAATATCCTCTGCTTCTCAATCGAGCTCAAACTGATAAGCGATATTAACGATGCCATGTTTACAATATAACCGGAGCACATGCCGCTGAGGTGAGGGGCGGGACGTTTAGAGGTGAGGGGTGGGACATTTAGACCGCACTTGAGGCGGTTTAGCCAATCACAACACGATGGGCTAGCTAACCAATCAGAGCCCATCGCCTATTTCTGAGGGCGGGGCTTCATAAAAACAAGAAAAGATCAGCCCGTTTCTCAGAGAAGGGACAGAGCTGTGTGGAATAAAGGTAGATTATGTGAAAAATAATGCGGTTTTTTTTAACTAAGCATTAACACATGTTAGACTGCACCCCATAAACACAATCAAGCTTAGAAAAAACCCAGTGAACCGCCCCTTTAAACATCCTGACCAGCCTGACAGAGCAACATTAGAGTGCATTTGAGGAGGGACTATCTATTTTTCAGCCAATAGCAGATGGGGCAGGTGTTCAGATTACTTTTTTTGTTCTGTTTGGTGAGCCTAGTGCCACAGAAATACAAAAATACATTACCTTTAAGATGAACCTACATACAAAAATGCTACCTGTGAAGTCTGCAACTCAGGTAGCGACTCAACCTTTGTTAGATTTCCATAGTGTGAAACACAAGAGTTTCAGAGACCGTGTCAGAGAAGACTACGCCGTCATTGTCAGAACGATCATGTTTTGTTTCTGCTTCCATCTAAACACACACACCTTTATTTGCTGGATCCCAGAGTGCTGACCACTACATTATGAGTGTGTACATGCCTCACAAATGTTCTTTCTATTTGGTTGTGTCTTCAGCCGGTGTACAAATAAGTGTGTATTCAGATAGGTAGTGTAACCTGTCCGTCATGTGATTGTATTCAGTATGGCCGCTGTGTGACCTAATTCTCAAGTGAGCACTGAACCTGATCTCAAAGCTCACCTTTAATATGATCTGAAATCAGAATTGCACTACGCCATGGTTGCTTTTCCCAGCAGCACCTCCCAGTCCTCAGGCCTGGTTTCTACAGAACACGTCTCACTGCGGCCTATGGGAATTACTCCCCTGTGTGGAAACATGTCCTACTTCTGATTAATCGTTATCGTGGTGCGTGCGTATATGAATATGGGTTAAAATAAATATCTGCCAAGTATGATTATCCATGGAGCAATATCTGAGCTTTGGCCGTTCGTAGCTGTTCTGAGCCAAAGCAGTGCTGATTTTTTTGTTGTTGTTCCCAAGACTGCAAAGTCACCGAGTGTGAAACCTCCAATCCAATAACCATCAACACCACCATTCACAAATCAACACTCATTTACAAGGCAAATTTATTGTAGGGTTTTAAAGAGAGACGTGATCTGAACTCCAGGGTACAATTGTTGACACCTGAAACGATATATTAATGTCCTCTCTTGGGTGTAGTGGTAATTTAATGGTATTGCGCTGTAATGGTGGTTAGGTTAACACCGATTATGCACAGGGGTGAGTAAACTTTTGAGAAAAGAGAGGTATGTGAAATTGTGAGCAGAACAGTAAGATGTTAAATATAGAGATAATAATAAAAAAGGGATTTAAAAACTTACTGTACACACACAAATATATGTGTGTGTGTGTGTGTATATATATAACAATGCTTTATATATATATATATATATACACACACACACACACATATATACATTATTATTGTTAATTAATAATTTTACATTTTTTATTTTATATACTTTTATGTATTTCATGAAATGTTGATTTTGTATTTATATTGTTATAGAAATTATGAAATAATATAATGTGTGTATGCATATATGTGTGCAAATTTCTATTAATTTCTATATACTCTATATATGTTATATTATAATACATTCTATTTTATGTAACTGAAGTCCTGAATAAGCTGCATAATGGATATTTAAATATATTCATCAGGGCAGTGCTGAAAAAAATATGATCATGAGTGTGTTAACTTATGAATTCTGTCTCTACACTAAAATAAGTCTAATAATTACTGTTGTTTACTGTTATACAGAGTTTCCTGTGTATAATAGAAGTTTTGCTCTTCATGAAATTCAAATAGATGTTTACATTTTGATTCTCATTTGCTATGATAAATACGGTAACATCACTTGTTCTAATGTTTTTAGTAGAATACGTAGCACACAGAGCTTAAACATACTCCCAGTCTCTCAAACAGCTTTCATTAGTGAATGCTGAGCAGGGACCTGTCTCAATGGGAGCTTTTGTTCACCTCCCTCTCTTTACAAGTACCCTTTGGACTCATATGGTCCCATTTGGGCCTTTTTCTCATCAAAATGGTGCACAAAGGGAAAGGTCGCCCCCTGGTGGAGCTTTGGTTGCATGTGCCTCAAATATTAAGATGCTTACTCATAACTGTACTGAGCATTGTACTGTATAGCTGCATATTCAGTTCTGGATTAGCTTGGTCATATATGACTTTGCGTTATATTGAGTGGCATAGAAGTGGTTAAAGATCTCAAACCCCACAAGAAGTGATCCATGAATATTCACTATTGTTATAAGATCCATGTGCCTGTGTATCACCCCACTCCCAGCCAGGCCCGGCTGGCAACCCAACTGACCGAAGAGGAGCAGGTGCGGATCGCTCAAAGGATCGGCCTCATCCAGCATCTTCCCAAAGGTGTCTATGATCCAGGCAGTGACGGCACTGAGAAGAAGATTCGAGAGTAAGTGATGCTACTGTGTATCTGTCTGTTTGTTTCCTAGTTATATTAAAGGTTGTTAAGGAGCAATGTTTTTTTTTTCAATCTAGCTCAAAAAACGTGAATGCACATGAAAGCACAACATGTTTATAACGAAAAGTTAATCTGAAACTTGCTATGACTAGGACTATTGTAACATGTTAAATTCTGAGATTATTTAAATGTTTAACAGCATTAGGCCTACATTTATAATGCGTTGCCTTATGGTGGAATTTAATTATGATCAAAGTGAGTATAAAATATCAATTTTATACTTGCACAACAAGTAGAAAATATCAGCAATGCAATCAAACACATGGATAAACCTGTTTAAATATATATATTTTTTTATATCCCAGCTTAATATGCAGCCAGAGACATCTATAAATAAGCCATTCATAAGCTGAAGCCTTCCAGAAATGTAAAAGCTGTGATTTGTGATGTTATCAAACATGCTCTGTTTGAATACTCCAGCTAAGCTGACAGAAACTTTAGTGCACCTTTGAGATGGGACTGTTTGTCTGACCAGTGGCAGGTAGGAAAAGTGATTAGAAAATCAGTTTAAAAACAATCATTATTTTGACAATGAAATCACAATAACAATATATACACCGTGTTTTGCAAGGAAAACGGTTTATTGGCATTAATAATTTTAATGTATTGACAGCCAGTGTCAGAGTCTTGTGTACCGTTCAAAACTGAACTGACAATTCCTTTTAAATGTATATATTTTTAATATACTATGTAATAGTGTATTGTTCAATTTGGGATCAGTAAGTTTTTTTTTTTCCTTTAAGTGACAATAAGTGGCAGTAAATGCATTTGCAAATGTTGAAAAATATTTTAATTTTAAATTTCTATTTAAAGAATCTTAAAAATATATATATCATGGTTTAAAAAAAATCTATAAAAATATTGAGCAGCACAACTGTTTCCAACATATATAATAAGAAGAAATGCTTTTTTTTTTTTTTTTTTGCAGCAAATCGAATATATTAGAATAATTTCTGAAGGATCATGTGACACTAAAGACTGACATAATGGCTGCTGAAAATTCAATTTTAAAATATATTAAAATAGAAAAAGGTTATTTTAAATTTTATTACCATTTCGTAATATTACTTTTTTTACTTTATTTTTTGATCAAACTAAGATTTCTTTGAAAAACATAAATTAAAAAAAATCTCAACCCCAAACTTTTGAATGGTAGTTTATACAATCCCAGAATACTCTAATTTAAATGAAGCTGGTTTACAAAATGGAATCTTAATGAGGACATCTCATAAGTGTCTGTTCCTGACCATTCTGTTGTGTGACTATTGAACTTTTTTTGAATTACAATTCAGTAAATTCATCTTTCTGTCATTGCGATTCAACATGCTGCAGGGCGTGACCAACTTTTAAATTCTGCATTATGCCCAACCCTGTCAGCAGCCTATGGAAACGCTGTGCCCTTTGTTGCCAAGCTTATGTGTGTGTGTTAACACGTTCTCTCTTTGCGCAGGTGTGTGATCTGCATGATGGACTTTGTGTACGGAGACCTCATCCGGTTCCTCCCCTGCATGCACATCTACCACCTGGCCTGCATAGATGACTGGCTGATGAGGTCCTTTACGTGTCCCTCCTGTATGGAGCCTGTAGATGCTGCCTTGCTCTCATCCTACGAAACTAACTGACTACTGCCTGCACTGATCCCCGCCGTACACACACACGCACACAACCCTTGAGTCCTGTCCTCACACGGCCCTTTGCATAAAGAGACAAACTGTCTGCTCGCCTTGGGTGTGGGATGGTGTGCCTGTGGCATCATGGGATAAAGGAGGCCACACTGATAATTAAACCTCTCCTGCATGGTCCTGCTGGACAGGGAAATCTGCAGGAGATCTTTTGCACCCCGATGACTCTATCATGTGATTCCTTTGTCTCTCATTGACGACACCCAGACAAGCCGGTCACGCACCATTCCACTGTAGCAACACTTACACTGGAAGGAGAAGAACCTTCGAGAAACATACCGGAGGACTTTTAAAAATGCATCTTTAACATTCAATCTCTATTTCTTTCTTTCTCTCTCAGTGTCTGTTTCCATAAAGGGCTCATTTGATTTCTGCCAAAGCTGCAGTGGAGCAAAACTAATGGCACTGCACATACACATGCAAAGAAAGAAAAAAAAAAAAGTCTCATCATGAATTTTGCACTTTTGACTCAAATAATTAAGCCCAACTTTACAGACACTCACACACACACATGCAAATGTGCATCACATAAGACTTTTATTTAACCACATGTTAGCTTTTTTGAGTTTATGTTTGTTTGGTTGTTTTAAACTACTCAATGGACACTTCAGCTACCCAGTTTGTGTTGAGAAATAAGCTTTTCTCTTTATATCACTTGCGAGCACCAAGTCTGAGTGAATTTGGTGCAGCAATTAATTAATCAAAAAT